AATTTCTTTGAGGAATATTGCTTGTTTTGTTTTTTTCAGAGGGAGAAGAGGCATAGTTACAAGAAGTTTCATACTTTCATAGTTGTTAGGGGCTGGAAAGAACCTTGCAGATCATCGGGTCCAGCCCCCTTGCACGTTGGCAGAAAAGACTGTTGGGATCAAATGATCCCAACAAGATGGGTATTAAGATGTTTTTTGAAGATTGCCAGGGTGGATGACTACCACTTCTGGGGGGAGCCTGTTCCAAACCCTCGGCTTTTGGTTACATGGTTATACATTTTCTTTTTAGCTGTTGCTCAGTGGACTTGAAGATGTTACTTTGCTCTTTTTCACTGTGGAGAAAGAAGAAAATTGGGACATCCTCAGTAGTTTAATTTAGAGAGGATCTGTTTGCTAATCTGCTTCCTGAAAACTGTAGTCTAACCGAGACAATTAGTCTAGATTCATTTAACGAGAGTTGTAAAAACTTGTTAGGATACAGCTAAACGTATTTTTAAAGTATTTTCTTCACATATAGACTTTGCTTTATTTTGTTTTAACTAAAAATGCAATAGTAACATAGCATATTTCACTGTTCCTCCTAGAATCCCTTGAATGCCTGTTAGACTTGTGGCTGTTGGCTGTGTACCTGCAAGTGTTTTTTCTGTAATAAGGAATATTCCAGTCTTGATCGAATTGGGAGTTTGGCCCATCCCACAGTGGGCAGAAATCCTAATTAATAAATGTTATTTGTACTTGATTAACCCCAATTCCAGAAGAAAAACGGTGCTAACAGGATTTGGCCTGGTGATTGTATGCTGCTTCAAACCATACTAAGTCCTAGTTTATCCAAGCAGATGTACTTTGGTAAAGATATTCTTGCATTGACTGGCATTGTTTAGCGGGAAGCTAGTTTTTAGGAAAAATGTTTAAATTGAGTTTCTGTATTGTATGATCTCTTGCTAAACTGTCGATTGTTGTGTCATGTCAAAGAAAAAGTACTATTTAAAATCTTGTCGTTCTATTTGCTCTCTCAGAAATTGAAATGTTTATTCAGAATTGGTTATTAACTCAGGACTGTCTGGCTTTGTGGCTGGGAGGTACATGATGCACAGGCTCCATCCCCACTCCCATGGGCTATGCCGGGGGCACCTCACCTCCTCCTTCTCCCTGGCTGTGCTAGCAGCATGCAAACCCCTTAGTCTCCCCCATCACAGGGCAGTAGGAAAGTTTAATGCCAGATCTGTGTTTTAAGCACTCACAGGTTACCAGTATGACAGCCGTGAAATAATTGGAGGTTGGTTTAGGGCATGGGTGCCAAAGATAAAATTCATGGGCCACATCTGGCCTGTGGGTTTTGGAAGAACTCCATGTGTCGCATGCACAAGCCCCAAGCCTGCCTGTGGCACGTGGAGCCTATTTGGTTCGCATGGCTTGCAGCACACCGGCCTGAGCCCAGTGCTGCAGTTACTGCACATGGCACAGGGGGGCAGTCCAGGGCCTGCGCTGCATGCAGCACCCACATTGGACTGGCTTTGTGCACTGGTGGACCCACAGACCATCTGCCTGCGGCAGAGCCAGCGCAGGGCTGGTTCAGCACAGTCATCTTACGCAGCATGTGGCCCATGTGGGCTCAGCACTACAGTCCAGGATTGGGGTCAGTGTATGTATAGGTCCACATTTTATGCACTGGACTGGTCCTATGCATTGGCTCTGGTGTGTGGGACTGGTCTGTGGAACCAGTCCATCCCACAGCCCAGCCCCATGACCCTCAGATGGGGTTGACACTGGATAGGGCAGGGCAATTTGCTGTGTTAGTGTGAAGTCAGGCAGAAGGCAGGGCAAAGTGGTATCATAGGCTCCAGACAGACTTTCCACTTAAGACATGATTAACTGGTTAATCATGTTTTAAGTGTTGACCTGGCCACATGTTCAGTCAATCAATGGTGTGATTTAAAAACTAGGCATAAGTCACAAAATTATTGCATAAAATAAATGTAGTAACTTTGTGGCTGGTTCTTACTTTGCTTTTAATTGGATGTGTGGCCAGTGCCCCACCTCTAGAGAAAGCAGGAACCTTTCAAGACTGCAGTGTGCTCCAGGGGCCGGGGGTCCCAATCATTTGGCTTCCAGCCAGAGTAATGCATCATGCCCAGGCATATAGCAAGCTTTGTTTCCAGTTGGGAAAGACGTGGTACAGTTCCCAGACTTGGGACTGATCTGCTGATGGGGCTCCCAGCCACAGAAGTGCATGGTATGCTCCCCCAGCTGGGAGCCAAGCTTGCTACCTGCTGGTGCAGGGGGAACCCAGGATAAAGCTTCCCCTGAGCCAGCAATATGGTGCAATGGGATCTGGTGTAGGAGCTCACAATTGCTCTTTCTGCCATACATGTATGGCATGGCAGAAAGCACAGTTGTTGGGATCTAGCATCAGATCCCATCCTGCCTTTTATTGTAATGTCTGTTAGCGTGTTGGGCAGGTGTGCCACAAATTAGCCCTGCATCCTACTTAAGTGCTACTCTGATCTCCTTTCCATGTCCAATCTGCTGCTCTGCCTTCTGCTTCCTTTTCTGTGCTCTCTGCCTCATCTGCTGCTTTTTTCCTGCTTCTTGTCCTGTCTGCCACCATGTTGCTTGTCCCCTCTTTGATCCTGACTTCTGCCACGTGCAGAGGCTGCACATGCGACTTGATATGCATGCTGCCAAGTTGACTACCTCTGTCATAAACAGATTGACAGAGGAATAAACTTTTGTAAGCAACAACTTGCTTTGTCAAATAGAGAGGGATGTTAGAGGTGAAATTCTTACTGGAGTTGTTCATCTGTGTAATAGTATAGTAAAATTAAATTATCTTCAGTATTCTGGTACTTTTAAAATCTCAGTGGTTCTCATCCAAAGTGTGCGCTTCCTCTGAAGCTCTTACTCTATTTAAAGTATCATTTGAATGCGACACTATTCAGTTTTTTGGAACAAGACTGAAGTTTAATCCCAATGCATATGTTCCTAAAGGCATGATTTGTATCAGAGTTGTCCCTTTTTAGGAATCACCAGGGAAATTTTACATCAGATATGCACTTATCGTTGCAAAACATTTTACACCTGAGTCTTCTGGTCATTTAACATTGACTTTTAGTAAGATACTGTCACAAAGCAACTGATTTCCAATTTCTGGACCTGCAAAATTTCAATCAATAGTTTGCACCCATGGTTCTTATCCTTTTTAGACTCAAGGTGCCCCTTGGAAAATGCAGACTCTTAGGGCTTTCTTACACATGCTCTGAGGCAGGGTGCTTTAATTAGAGTGTCTCTGAGAGCCACTCTAATTAAAATGCCTGCAGTGTCTTGTGTATCAGTGTCCCCGCACTTTAAACTGGCGGTGGGGGCACTTTAATTAAAGCTTGTCAGACAAGCACCCCTGCCGCGATTTTGAAGCATGGGGATGCTGATACATGTGGAAGCTGGTTGGAGTGCTTCAGCAGGCTTGATTAATTGAATCTGCTCCAACATGCTGTACTTGCAGCATGTGGGAGCAGCCTCCAGGCTTGTGTACAAGCACCCTTAGCTTTCAACTCTTTTTTTTGACTACAGGAACAATTCTTCTGTTGCAAAGAGCTCAACAAAAACCACAGCAGGTCGGAATGTTTTTGGCACTAGGGATTCCTTTTTGAATTTTCTGGCTTTATCTTTTCCATCATCTGTAGGTGATTGCACATGTAACAGTACTACTATTGAATAGCAGCCTTAAAAAATATTTCATGACACCCTGATTGAGTATCACAGAATACACTGGAAGAAGTGCTTCAGTTTGTAAGCTTTCTCATCACATTGGGTCTGTCTCTTCATTAAAATACATGAATACACATGTTGTAGATTTACCATATTTACTTGATTCCAAGAGGAGGAATAGAAACTGTTTAGAATAGAGTAACAAGTAAAAATGCTGTACTTGCAGCCAGTGCTGGGTCCCTCTGGCTGTCCATGGCAATGGAATTGGCATGGTGCCAGGGAACAGCAGGGTCCAGCACAGCACAGGAATCTATTCCCGGCTCCATATTGATTCTTTGTTTGTGTTTATTTGTGGTTTACATTAAATTGAACAGAATCTGGCTTGGACTCTTGCTGTTATTTAGGCATGCCATGCAAATTAAGATTAATATGCAAGCATGCAAATCTGTCGTGTTCTGTCCCTGTCCTAAGGCTCCTTGTGCTGCATCTCCACTTGATGGGTCTCTGTCATCTAAAGACCCAGAATCAGCAGCAGTGGAGTCTGGTTCTTCTGCTTGACAGTCCAGTTCTGAAGCTTTGTCCACATGCTTTATAGGCGATACTTCTCCATTTGGGGTTATGTCATTGTTTTGTTCCCTTTCCTCATTTTCCTTCATTTTTTTGTAATGCAAACAGGGAATGCTACTCAAGGGAGGATCATGTTTCTATAAGTATAATATCAGAATTTTAAAAGTT